AAATTTACGAGTAACCGATGACTTAAAGATTGCCACCACGGTATTTGTGGTTGTCACTAGCACACGCGGTATATACCGGCCGAAACAAAGTCCAAAAAATACTATGTTATGAAACAGTCGTTAACGAACCTCAGAGAGACTGGAGTATATATAATAATAATTAAAGACTGTTTTTGAGAACAATCGATCCAAAGACGTATATAATAACAAAGTGAAACTTTTTTTTCGTCTCGCCCTAGGGAGATAGGGTTGGGCATCTTTGTTGGAAATATCCGATAATGCCGATAACCACTTTGTATGTTTACGACACGTAACAAATAGCAGATGCAAAAATTAAAAAATCTAAACATCAAAGTTTTTTATGTCAGATTCAGAAGACATTTTTTTAAATAAATATCATAGTATTAATGAGATTTATTTCAAAGTAAAGGTGTTTTATAGTATTTATTATCATAAGGTGTCATTTGTATTGATTAACAAGATATATTTTTTTAAATAAGAACATAATATTGTATGATAACCATTATAGATAAATTATTTTATAATTTTTTATTTTTTTTTTAGTAAATTAAACCATAACGGTTTTATCATATGTTATACTGATATAATATAATGGTATAGTGATACAGTTTTGGCAATTATACAATAAAGATTCTTAGTAAAAATATTAAGAACTAATTAATTTTTACTTCTTATAGTTATTCACTGGTTTGGTGGTGTATAATATCAATTTTATAAAATTTCATGTGAAACATTTTTTATTAGATATTAGGATTGATCAATTACATGATTCCAACATCATAAAAAAAAATATATATATATATGAATATCAGCCACCAGTTTTTATGAAAAAAAATAAAAGGAACCGAAATCAATGATGATTTTGGGTATTTTTGTTGCTCTGATCACCATCTACATTAAAGTCAGTCAGTAAAACGTATTATAATTTTAAATTTTAAAACAACAGAACATTATTTTATGGTTCTGAGCAGACTAATAAATGTTGAAATATTTTCAGAAAAAAGTTCAAAAAACCTTATATGCTTTCTAAACTCTAGTATAAGTAACTGGATACGATATAGTTTTTTGATTCACGTTTGCAGGATTTCATAATTAATGTTAAACTTTTTGTTGGTGAATGTATGAACAGTTTTCTCTCACTGCGTTGTATTAATTCATAATTTGCCTGCATGACACAGAAGATTGCAATACTTTAGAAAATAATTAGGGAATTCTAGATTAATATCTCGTTAATAGTGTTGGTACAATATCGTTACATACTAGCAGATTGCAAGGGGCCTATCCAATAGTTAAACAAAAAAAAAATGATACAGTTAAAAAAAAACAAATATTGTATTAAAATACGAATCTAAAATTGTATAAAGGAACTTAAAATTACTTATTGAAAACTTTATTAACAGTGTTGAATCTAAATATTTCGATATGTTAAGGATTAACAGCCTTTACTACCACTGAAAGAATTATTTAAAAATAAATAAGATAATATTAGGTAGGTAATCTTTCATAAATAACGATGATATAATCTGCAACATTTTATTTTTTGGATAGTTTAAATAAAAACAATTACAAATTTATATATTATAATATTATATACATGCAATACATACATACAATTTATGATATTATATATTACAATATATTATTATATATACTATACACATTTCCGATACCATGGATCCAATTGTCCTCCTCTCAACCACAATCATAAAAATTATAATAACAATATATTATCAGCATAGACCGTCCAACTTCAATGTATAATAGTTAATTATTTGCCTATTTTTACTATTTTATAGTTTAAATTTATAATCATCTTAAGTTTAAGTTACTATTATTAATTAAAAATAATATAATACTTCTCAAAAAAATAAAGATAATCAGTGATTACACCTTTAATTGTATTAGTAAATTTGTTGTAAGACTTTCAACAGTTCCTAAAGGCAAAAACGTAAAACTAACGATTTTATAAGTTTATTATAATTTAAAATACTTAACTAATAACATTGATTATAAATTATTATTATTATTATTATTATTATTATTATTATTATTATTATTATTTATAATCAATGCTAATGCTAATAATTATTTTTGTTAATTTAAAAGTTAAATATTAAATAAACACATTTAAATTTTAAAAAAAGGTTCAAAAGTTTAAAATCACAAACTTCACTACCTATCAATATTGTACTGGTCTTAATATACTACACTTCACCTATAACTAGAATGCTAAAAAGTGTTTGACTTAAAAAAAAAAAACTTTAAATTTAAAAAATGAAAACACTTATTGTCATTTAATAATGATAAAATATATAAATTAAAAATAACGAATTTTAGATTGAAATGATACTTGTCATAGACATAAGATGTACTTAATGCAAAACTTATTTAGGAGCGTAACATTCCTTTTAAAAAAACCTTTTCACTGTAACTTGTGTTGTGTGGCTTGTGCCCTTAGAACAAAATATTCAATATAGCCTCGCAGACTATACACCATCGAATCTGCAGCTGGACGGGATACAATTAAAATATTTTGGGTCATATCGTATCTATTTCAAATTGCCTAAAATTATAATTTTACTTCATACAAATAAAAGCAGTGCTATGATTGCAGTGCTATATGATTACTATTCCATAATTGTATCATTGAAAGCCATATAATTATTATGAAAATATGAATTTGTTTAAAATTTTAATTTTTAAAACATAAATATTTTAAATAATGTTATTAGAAATGTAGATCCCTAGTAAATCGTTCCTTATGGTTTTAAATTAAAGTTCATGGTTTATTAGAATCATTGATTTTTTTTTGAAAAATTCATCTAGGTAGTTGCCTCATATTATGTAAACCATAATATACCATTCGAGTATGTATGATTTCATATTAATATAGAATATTATAAAACATTTTTTTTGCCCGAAAAATTGTTTACAAAGGAACAATATACATAATAAAAACCCATTATTATATAACCAATAACTTTCTAGCTCTGCTCAGAATATGAAATAAAACAAAAAAATCATTAAAACACATTTTTTTTTAATAATCAAAGAAACTTTGGAAAAAATGAATATATTTTGGTCGCCCACACCAGTATTCATATTCATAATAATGTAATAATTATTATTATGAAATTATGGAATAAAAAAAAACCATTACCTATCTTTCTTGAATTATTAAAATATGTAAAAATTAATTTGAAAATAAAGTAAAAAATAAAAGATCATTAATACGCTCCTGCTCAAAAAGTGGTTACACTTAATAATATACAATTTTGCAGTTATTACATTTTTTTTCAACCCATTTCTATACATATAGGACGTGATGTTTAAAAATATTAAAAATTAATCGAAATATTATGAGGAAAATAGTTTTTAAATTAAGTCAGAATCCCTGGCGTTGCTTATAAAATAATTGTTGTCAATTTATTTTTAGTGACCTATATACAATTATACAAATTAAATTACTGATAATCAAACTATAAGAAAAACTCTAAGTATACGCATTTATTTTTTACTACATTTTAATCAAAATTTTAATTCTATCAATGAAAACAAATTGTCAATTTGTTTGAACAATTTTATTTTTATAACATTATTTTATTATAAAATAATGACAATTTTAAAAATATATAAAAATAAAACGACTTAACATTTAAAATATGATGAAATGAAAATATCCTATTTCATCAAATATTTTTTTTATTTTATGAACTAAATTTATTGTTATATGCCTGAACATCAACAGTGCTATGTCAATGATATAACTTTATGCAAAAAAATATATAATTTGTCTTATTCCGTTTTTGCTATTATTTTGTTATATTATGAAATAATATATACCTATTGCATATATATATATAATTAATTATATCAAATATATTTTAATACGTTTAATCATTGTGATATCAAATCACAACTATTATTTTTCATTAGATGCCGAACAGAAGATCTCACCGCTCAACCTCTCGCCCGTCAAACATTATGTACCTATATATTGTACCTACTTACCTAATAATGTATAGCCAATATTTCCACATATAGGGTTTTTGTAACGTTCAAGAATATTACAAAAACCCAAACCATTCTATTACGTTTTAATTGTATTTTTTATTTTTCGTTTTATAAAATATAGTAATAACATCATAGAAATTCCTCGCCAACACATACATTTATACAGGATGATTCACAGAGCACGCTCACCCTAATTTTTTTTCTGTTGCAATAAATGTATTCTAATTCGAGGTTAGGTTAGGTTAGGTGTAATCTATACATTATTAATCAGATTATTTCTCGAAAAACTGTTATATCTAAATTGAAATCTAAACGAATAGTTTTCGAGTTATATAACCTTATGCACCAAGAATAATATAACAAGCATGAAAGATAATATGGGAGTTACGATGATTTGAAAATTCAGTAATTAAAATAAGTCATCAACATTTTATAGCTTATAACAACTATCCAAATATTATAAGCATATACTATAATATCTAATACTACATCTATTTTATAATTTTGTAAACAATGTTTAAGGACTATTATCCTAAGCAGGTATATTATATACTCTAATAAATCAGGAACTCGTTTAAATATTTTGATTTAGATATTACATTGAAAATTTAAAAAAAAAACCCATATGGTTAATAATTTGCAGTAAAAAATATTAGACCTCATTTGAAAAAAAAAAGAAATTAGTATCACCACAAGACACTTCTGAAATGGCATAAAAATCTAAATAAATGAAAATATGGTCCTTAAATCTTACTTAAAAATTCCAACAACGAGAACATGAATAAATACACATTTATTGAAACACAAATTCGTTAGAAATAAAAATGGGGGTGAATATACGGTGAAGTACCCTGTATATAGATACACCCTAACGAGAATGACCACTGCCGGCACGTAGGTGCCTATATTATATAAATATATAACACAAATCGAATAGAATATTCTGTGCGCGTGTAAATACTCACGTTTTGTTACGGGGGCCGGAAGAACATCCGCGGCATTGTGCTGTCCGTGCGGCGAAGGCAAATCGTGGATGGAAAAATAAAAAAATAATAATAATAAATATGATATACGCTACGTACTTGAATAAATCGTATGTATTATATAAATATATTTTTTTTAAAAACTATAGATTTAAATATGTAGACGAACGACCAGTAGAATTTATGGACGAATATTAAAATAATATATATATAATTACAAGTGTACGATATTGTAATTAAGTATAATATTTTTTTCGGATTCGCCAGACGAGTTGGCTGGAGGTACGCGACGGAAAATCGTGCGACTGCCGTTCGCGACAACGGCCCTGGTGGTCGGTACGACGACGTCGCACTGTTACAACGTGCACAACAGTGGTCGGCGTGCAACCTTTCCGACGGAGAGTATATTATTATTATTATTATTTTATTATTATTATTATTCTTGTTGTTATACTCGCGGCGCGGCGGTCACACCATCTGCTCGCGAGTCGCGGCGACCGACGACGGCGGTGGTTGACGCGCGCAAGCTCCAGCGGCGGCGTCGGCGTTCGTCGAGTAGGAGCTCCGTTCGGGGGCGGTCGCCGCTGTACGATGCGAAAAAATATATAAAACCTACGTCAAGACGTATAATATTATAATATTTGTACAGGTGTAGGTGGCTATGTGCCCGTTTTCTTATATATACGTGGAGACAAACGTTTGATAAGGCCAATTACACCCCCCTCCTCGCTCGTCCACGGGACGATTATCATTGTTAAACGAAATTCCCAGTTTCCGAAAAAAAAAAAAAAAATGTTTTGCTCTGCTATCGTATCTCATGCATAAATAATAAAGGAATGGATAGGGCATCAATTAAAATATAATTTAGCGGTAAGCTTTTAAGAATACGCGGCCCATTATTTTCATTGTTCTTGTGAATATAATAACCACATAAAGCCCGTATAGGCAGTCTATCGGCGACAAAAGGTAATCTCCTATGCGCATACACTCTCAAAAAACATTCTCCAAAAAATATTTCGACTCAATGCATATAGGTGATGTATCGTCCTAGTCTTTGTGTATTCTTTTATTCCTGCTACCTAGCTGTATAATCCACGACTTCGAACGGAAAAAATGAACAAAAATAAAATTCGGTCCTATATGTCTGTTAACAGTCTATTTCGGTGTACCCACCTCAGTTCACGTGAAAATCGGCATCGGTGTAATTCGCATTGTGAACAATTCCGACCGAGAAGGGCAATCCACCCGTGTCAGATTCGATATACAGCATTATCGGTATACTTTCGAACGTGGTTTAAGCTATATCCTATAAACTTTTCTGATATCTTTAACAACAATCTCTGACAGTTCGTCAAATCGATCGAGTATTTTGTTAAATCTACAAGCCACAGACTGACTACTAGTAACTGGGTTAAAATTAATCTATGATCTATCTATACCTATCTATCGTTTTCCGTTACATAATACAATGCGCCTCCCTGTTCGTCCGTATTGAAGTATTTCGCGAATCAAGAGACAAACAGACAGTTAAATGGATCTGTGGGTGATTTGTGCAATAGTACATTTCATCGTGTATACATTTGAATTTTGACAGTCAAAAAGTTTAAAATTTGAATACTTTGCAATCATTTTGAATATAAATTTAAAAATAAGAATAATTTCAAGATGTTAATTTTTCAACAGCTTTGAGTAGACGATGGTTTTATCACGTAGTAAGTTGAGAATTTGAGTAAAAATCGTTTAAAATGTGCCAATCCCGGAACAGGTGACAGATAATTTACCGTGAAAGAAGCAAGATTTTACAAATGAATCCTCACTTCCTGTTTCCTATATTTATATCAAGTTTTCGTGAAAAAAAAATTGTATCCTACCATAGGAACTATATTTTTATTTCCTGTGACTGATGGTTACCTATTATATAAACAAAAAAGATTTGATTTTCTTTGAAACAAAATGTTTGTCTAAGCCAAACTTTTGTTGTTGAATTCAATGACTTACCAAGTAAAACAATGATATAGATGGTGTAACTTTCTATAAGTGAAAGAATTTTTAGAATCGATTCCGTAGTTACAAAGATCACCCGCTACATATAAATAAATTTTACGTCCTTCTAATATTCTAATATTAGCAAAAACAATCTCAAGTCATTTAGGATTATTCATCTATTCAATTATTTGCACCCCTCCCCATGAATTGTTGATGTCTAACACATTCTAACTTAATATTTTTTTGCTCATAGGTATTATTTAGTGAAATATATTTGTATGGATCTCATTCTTTTTAGATAATAATTTTATATTAAGATACAATTCCAAACACTTATAAATTTACCATAAATTACAAAATATGTTTGGACTGGTAAAAATAAATGCAGAATAATATAACCGTTACGAATTTCGATATAACTGCTGTTGTTTTTGTATATAAAATGATACACTATTTTGTTTTCCAAATCTCATGTGAATTACATCCAAAGTTATAATGCAAAATATCGATATGTTGAAGGTTACAAGTTTAGATACCATGCAATGTGGTGAATTTATGAAACGTGTGAACTGGCCATAACTGATATATTGAAGCTTATTCACGCTTCGATAATGAACACCTCTGTAATACTGTTATAATTTGTAATATTAATTATAATTACAGTATAATACATTATAGCCAGACCAAACACGGTTCCCGGTTTTCATTAAAAACATATTTTTACCCGGAGATGAGCTTCCTATTACTCAGACCATACTCAAACATCCACCCCCATAAACTCGTTCCCCTAATTAACACGTGCGTGCTTATCGATAATAACTACAACTGACTGGCCCATTATAAACATATCTATATAGGCTTTGATTGTAGTTAATAACGGTCGTCGAATGAAGTATAATAAAAAAAATTCCTAGGAAAGTTTATTTGCCCATGAAAGCGTATGGGGTAGAACATCTCCTTTTCTCCTTTTCCACCAACGTCGCCGAAACTGCGAAAAATTTTGATTTTTTTTCTTTCACTTACATTTTGTCGAAAATCTTTCGGAAGTGGTAAGCTTACAGGTTTTAAAACAATAGAAACGTTTAAGACGGAATTTCAACACTATAAATAAGCCCTTTTTGATTGGGTTTATATATTTGGTGAGTGTACACTGTAAATTATTGATTTGAAGCAATAAATATATGTCCTGTAAACTTGTAATATTAATAAATAATCATATATCCGTGCATTTATCAAGCAATACTATCGTTCCACGAGTAATATATATATTATTTACGTTATATTTAGTATAAACCTACTCATAACTTACTAATCATATAAACAATAAATCCTCTATGACAACATTGGTTACCTATATGTAATTACTCCTTAAGGTTATACTTCATAATAACTTAATAAGATGGGTACTGACATCGTATAAACAATAAATTCTAAATTAAATTTTTAACTCAAACGTAAACATTTTTTATTTATGAATCAGAAGGTATAATATGGTTTATAAAAAGTACAAACCATTAACAATATCATTAATCTGTGATTTCAGTGAATCCCCCGAAAGTATTCTACGTTTTTTTAAAAATATTTTTAAGTATAAAGTACCAATATATTATTGAATATGGACTATGGAGCTTACCAAACAGTACAATAATAGAATTAAATTATAACCATAACACTTTTGTGGAATAAAAAGCAAAATATGAGCCCATATCGGGCAAATTTAAACCAGTTGAAAAAATCATATTGACAAATTGTAACCTGTTTATAATATTAAATCATTCGTTATTTTTTTTTTTTTAATCCTTGTTATCAAATATAATTGCAGTTATGCGGTGTACTCAAGTGTAGTATAACACTAATTATTAAATATTTTATTATTTTATTGAAACTAATATTAAAAATAAATAATACATAGATACTCGGGATTTACATTTAATATCTTGATTAGAGTGTACTACAACACTATCAAAAAAAATACTATGTGGTCCAGTGGCGCAGGAACTATTTTTCATAAGGGGGGGCAAAACATAAAAAAAAACCTAACAACTATTATAATATATTTATTTGTAATTGATAACAGAAAACCTTTCTTATTATTTTATTCTTTTAACGTTAATATAGGTAGTTTAATATATAGGTATATACATAAATATATGTATATATATTTTTTTTATTTAAAAGTTTACCAGCTAGTTTAACATAGCAAAAGTTTACCAACATATAAATGTATAAATTTAATGATTAAATTTATACATTTATATATTGAAACAAAACATGAATCATATTTACGTTATACCTAAAGTTAAAATAACAGTTAAACAGTATCTAAATAAATATAATAAATAAGTTTTAAAAGAAATATATTTACTATATACCTGAAGTTGTATTCAAGAGTAACAATATATTATACAGAAATATAAATAAATGAAATATAAAAAATGTATTCGATTTATACCTTAGTCCTTAAGTTATATTCTAAAGTAACAATGTGTCAATATTTAAATAAATATAAAATAAAAATAATAAATAAATACCTGAAGTTGTATTCAAAAGTAACAATATATTATACAGAAATATAAATAAATGAAATTTAAAAAATGTATTTAATTCTTACCTTAGTCCTTAAGGTATATTCTAAAGTAACAAAATGTCATTATATAAATAAATATAAAATAAAAATAATAAAATAAACTTCACAAAGGTTATTTTTTAAAAAGAATTACCTATAAAATTAATAAAAATTTCCAAATATTGATTTCCTTTCTGAAGTTCTGGAAACAAATTCTTTGGCAATTAACTTCAAATCAATTTTTGCTGTCATAGACTTATGAACGTGTAAAATCATCAAATGAGTTAATCTCTTTTGGGTCATTGTGGACCTCAGATATGTTTTTAGTCTTCTCAATGCACTAAAAGAACGTTCAGCAGTCGCTGCAGATGCTGGTATTGTTAAAATTAATTTAATAAGCTTGGTGATTTCAGAAAACAAAGAATCTTTTACATTTGAATATTCATTTCTCAAATGATTTATAATATCTGAAATACTAGTGATAGATACTATAGACGGTAACATAATAAGCTGGGCATGGAGTTTATTAATGTCAAAATCCTCACTCATATTATTTAAACAATTAGTAAGTTCTTGGTGAGTTCTTGTGTTTTGATCTACAAGTATGTGTTCTAATTTAACCAAGTTTTTTAGACCTTGTTGATTAAAACGCCTATCAATTTCATTTATCAAATAGTCAATTATTTCAAACATATCTTTCTTCAATTCACATATTGGTGATAATTTTGTAGGAGGGTTACTTGTATATTGAAGTCGTTTTGGTGTTTTTTTGATACGCTTAGTGTCATCAAGTGGTTCTAATTCATATATTTCAGCATTTAAATTCACGGTATTTAATATCTTTTCAAAATATTCATTACTTCTGAATGATAGTAATGTTTTCTTTAATGTATCTGCAGCTTTAATTGAATCTGATGCACAAAATTTAGGATTT